CAGCTAACATATCAGAGTGAGCAGGGTGGAACATAGCACATACCCCAGCAAATGAGTGTCCCAACTACCCTCCATTGCAAGAGCAGATCAAAACCCCCAAAAAAGCTGTAAACGTAAAGTAATATAAAACAAAGCAACTGGCAGGTAGTCGGTGGAATGCAAACGAGAGGAGGACTGGTGCAGATAGGACCTAGGGTAAGAATAACCACAAACTGCACAATGCAATACCCCAAAGCCAAAAAACAGCTGTTCACATTAGAGAGAGAGCAATCCTAGGAAACATCCGAACAGACCTGAAAGGGTAATAAATCAAACAGGAACGTTCAATTGGGTTAAATATAAGAGAAAGTGCCATTGAAAGCGTATCAAAGCTTGTGGAGATCAATTACACTTCATGTTGAGTAGGTGCTGAACTGTCAGGAATCTGCAAAGACGACCTGGGACTCTAGGCAGGAGCGAAGACTAGCCAGTTGGATCATCAGAGAAGTTCAGCCAATTTGAGGCCTCCACTGAGCGGGCATCCAGAAACTGGAATAAAGCTGGGAGTTGGTCAGGCATGTGAAGCGCAAAAGAAGATTTCCCTCGCCTGACTGAGGTGAAAAGGGTGGCCCTAGTGATATGAGGCATCAGAAGCCTGAAGAATGTCCAACAAATGTTAGAGCTCCCTACGCATGTGGAAGGTCAGGCCAGAAAGATCAGGTAAGATGTGGACAACTGCTCCATTGAATTCGAATTGCTCCTTAAGTCAAGCTCTGCTCATTACTTCCTCTTTGATGGGGAAAAATTGCACCCAACAGATGACGTCTCCTGGATAGTGTGGTCCCTGGGCACAATGAACGCGGTCCAGTGGTTAGGAATTGCTTTAACAGCCTCTGAGAGGTGAACACCCATAGTGGCTTTTGGAAGTCTTTTAAACAGATTTTCTTTCTGCAGTTTCTGTTCTCTCCATCATCTGCAGATTCATGGCAATCAGCCGTGGCTGAGTCAAAGCGGCAGGCGACTCCAGTGCCGCCACTCTGCCCAACAGGGAGGCTGCCCATTAGGGAGGAGGTAGTGGGCTCAACTCATGACACCAGACAATCCACAGCCAAAATTTGGCGTTTCAAGTACTGTAGTTCTTTCTTTAAGGTGTCTATGAAGGAGGATGCCACGGACTCTATGTCTCAGTTAGTGGACATCTGAGGAAGAAGATCTTGTACTGCCCCCTCAGCCTGCATGCATGAGCACACGGATGCCCTGGAAGATGGTGAGCTGATCAGGGAGTCTGCTCCCCAAAAGGTCAAGTGATAGGATTGGGGAGGCGGGAGGGCTCTTAGCACATGGAGCCTCTGACTAAACCACATGGGTGGGGGTGATCTTGATTCTGGTGCTTGCCTGGGGTAGGACATGGAGTTTGGCGCGTGAATAAGCTGTAAAAAGAGCGGCTCAGTGTTCACCGTGTGGTCTGGGCGTGTTCTTCTTCTTGGGTATTGGTCAGGAGGTGAATGAGAATAAGCTATATAGTTAATCTGTCTTGATCAGTGCAGAGCTCAGGCAGGTAGTAGCCTCACGCCACCATGGTTAAGCAACACCCCTTTGTTGTAAGGCTTACATTGGAACACAACCGCTTGCAGCTGGACAGCTTTACATCACTTCCTGTTCATTCCTGAGCTTCTGAATGCGTGGAAGCACTCAGTACAAAGGCTTCTACCCATTGATAACTGTTCGATAGTAAATATTTACTATCACCAGTTTATGAATGAATGGGAAGCCTCTGTCATTGTGTGCTTTCTGTTAATTCAGAACAGAGGCTGCAGAAAAAGGAGATTGTGGACTCTGAGTCCTCAATTTCTTTTTCAAAAGGGAAATATGTCAGTGGTCTGTTTAGACCCCTTTTTTTTTCAAGAAGATACGCTGTGTTGCGATTAAATGTATGCCTGTATCATTTTATCACAACACACACACCAGCACACAAACTATTTTTAACAGAAGTTGCTTATTTACAGTTTTGTGTTACTACATTTTTTTTTACCATTTCAATTTAAAATTTACACATATATTTGTTATTTATTAACTTAATAAAGTTATATTTTAGATTTAGTCTGAAAAGTATTTTTTTGGGCGCTGATACGGATTTTATTGTGTCACTAACACATGAGAGAGATCCACAGGAGCACTGGCCCGTTTATTCTAACGCGCCTGTGCTTTCAGAAAATACTGTATATGGTTTGGGGGGTCTTCTACAAACAAACAAAAAAAAGCTTTAAAATCGCCTAAATATGCTCACGCTCAAGTGTGAATGGGACCCTAGTGATCAGACTTGAGTAAATAACCATATCCAAAATAAATGAATACACAACCCCAATTCCCAAAAAGTTGTGACGCTGTGTAAAATCTACAAAAAAAACCAGAATGCAATACAATACAAAAATAGAAAACATATCAAATGTTTAAACCCAGAAAATGTACCATTTAAAAAAAAAAAAAAAAGATTTTTATTTTGCAAATTATTGCATTCTGTTTTTGTGTAGATTTTACACAGTGTCCCAAGTTGTTTTGGAATTGGGGTTGTATATAGCTTATAATGAAAATGGGTATGGGGACATATAAAAGAGCAGTGAATCTTTGAAACAGGGACACAGACAACAATAAAAACCAGGCAAAAGGCAGCCCATTTATTTTGAATAAGCTGGCAGAACACCTTAAGGCGTAAGAAAAAGGAGACCTAACTTTTTTTTTTTCTTTTTAACACAGTGCACTACAATGTGGTATTCTAGAGCGCAGTCACTTTGCCTGCTACTGCAATAGTGTAATAAGGTGCCATTCATAATTAATAGACAGTAAATCAACTTAGACAGTAAATATTAAGGGCTTGTTCACGCCAATTGCGTTGTGTTCCAGAGCGGGAGCTGCTGAAACTCACCACAATCGCTCACAAAACTTCTCCCTTCGTTCAGGGGTGGGAGGGAGCGTGGTGGTGCATTTAAATCAATGGCACCGCAGCCAAGCTCCCCCACCCGCAGTGCAATCGGACGCGTGGCAAAACACTGCCTGCGCTCCGTTCCATTGCAAACGCACAAAATGCTGCATGCTCTATATTTTGAGTTTGCAGTGGAACGGAACAATTGCGGTGCTTTCCAGCAGCTCCCGCCCTGGAATGCAACGCAATCGGTGTGAACATGCAGTAATAAACTGCATTATGTCACATGCTGCACAGAACTTCCTAAAGAGGAACCAAACTAAACTGTTGTATTTATTTATGGTATTTATATATTGCCAACAATTTACTCAGCGCTTTACATAGTGCACATTTACATCAGCCCTGCCCTCAAGGAGCTTACAATCTAAGGTCCCTATCTCACATACATACGAGGGACAATTTAGACAAGAGACAATTAACCAAACAGCATGTCTTTTGGAGTGTGGAGCAAACACAGGGAGAACATGCAAACTCCTTGCAGATAGTGAACTGGCTGGGATTCGAAACAGGAACCCCCAAGTGCTGCAAGGCAGAAGTGCTAACCACTACAAAAAAAAAAAAGTCAGAAAAGTGAAAAGAGAAAATTAAAATATACACTAGAAGGAACATGTCACAGTTTGCTCTTTCTGCACCATAATATGAAGAATGCATGCTAAGAAATAGAAATACTGAATGATCTTAATTTCGATATGTAAAAATGCAGGAAATATACCAAGGAATAAAGAGCCTGATTTCAAACATGCAGCACATTATTAGGTCTGTCTGTAAAAGAAATATGTAACTAGGTTTCCCGCTGCTGGACATGTGACTTTTGAAGTACTATTCTGTAGAAACATGGTGTTTCCTGTTTTGATGCAGTAATATCTTCCTTCACTAACTGCACCCAAACTGTGTCCTAATAGTGTCTTAATCATGTAGGTGAGAAAGTCTTTGAGGAAAAAAAAAAAAAAAAAAGTATGTGTTGATTGCATTCTTTATATAAAAATCAAAATCAGACTAGGTGTAGCAAAAATTGCATAA